TGGCTTGAGCTTGAGATGAGCCGCTCGCAGTCGCTGGAACACCTCTCGAAGCCTGGACCAATGCTCAGACAAAGATCTACTGAACACTATCACATCGTCCAAGTAAATCAGGCACTGTTCCCATTGCAAGCCCCGCATCACCAACTCCATCAGCCGCTGGAACGTCGCGGGCGCATTGGTGAGTCCGAACGGGAGTACTCGAAACTCGAATAGCCCCATCGGGGTGGTGAATGCGGTTTTCGGCCGATCCTCCTCCGCCATCTCCACCTGCCAGTACCCGGACGCGAGATCGAGGGTGGAAAAATATCGCGCTCCGGCGAGGCTGTCGAAGGTGTCGTCGATGCGGGGTATAGGGAAGGCATCGCCGAGCGTGACTGCATTTAGTTTACTCGTAATCGACGCAGAACCGTGTTGACCCATCCTTTTTCGTTACTAGTACCACCGGGGCTGACCAGGGGCTCGCCGAGGGCTGAATTATGTTATCGCAAAGCATGTCCCCAACTGCCTCTTTGATTTGGGCGCGTTCGGGTGCGCCCACTCGGTACGCAGGGAGTTTGATGGGTCGGGCTGCACCGGTGTCAATTTGGTGCTTAACAAGATCGGTCCGACCCACGTCCGAGTCGTGTTCACTGAATACGTCGGCATACTCCCGCAGTAGCTCGCGCAGCCGATCGGCCTCTCCCTTAGGTAAATCCGCCCATGGTACATGTAACGCGTCGAGCAGGGGAACGACCTCGGCTCGGGGAGTCGGGCCGACTCGCCAGGCCAGGTCCTGGTCACCCTCAGGACGCCCGGGGTCCTCAGCCCAGAGTGCGAACACCGAGTCGTTAGAGTGGCGTGCGTGCAGGGGGTGTACTGTGGCTATCGGGGTGCGCCGTCGCAGTATCGCTGGGGTATTGTGGGGGTTAAACATCCGCATAAACAATCGGTCCCCATCTGCGTTTACCAACGTGGCGGATCCCACAACCCCATACCGTTTTGCCAACTCCGGGTGAGGAGTTAGCATTACCTCCCCTGATGGTCGGAGCGCGGGGTCGGTGGGGGATGTTGCCACCGGCACCAGCATCTCGGTGAGCGGGCCGATGGTGACTGTCGTCGCCAGGATAGCGGCCACAGGTGCAAAGCGGCGGCGCGTTGGTTCTCGTCCCAGGAACGGTATCCGCTCGCCGTTGCTCTCCATGGTGGCGCATCGCTGGCGGGGTTGCACGTTGAGTCCCAACCGTTCTAGGAGGTCGGTGCCTGCGATACACTCGTGACACAACGCACTCGACACGTAGAACTCCTGCGTGCACACCTGGCTGCCTATGCGGACCTCTAGGGTGGCTCTCCCCAGCAGCCCCATTCCGGCTCCGCTCGCAGTGTGCAGCGCGCGGTCCGGGGCCTGCAGGTGACGCACGTCGACCCCGATCGCGCTGCAGTGCGCTGCGCTCACGAGCGAGGCTACCGCCCCCGTGTCCAGCAGGATTCGGGTACGCACTCCGTTTACCTCCCCTTCCACCAGCGACGTGGCCCCCGTGATCCCCGCCACCAGCTCCCGCAGCCAGTCGCCAGGAGTCACCGTTTCTGTGGGCGTTGTTGCTGGAACCTGTGTGGAGATCACTCGCTCGCCATTATTCTCATTATCGTCTATTTGTATCGGGACCGCGTCGATTGCACCCCTAGTTGGTCCGCTTTCTAGGGGGCGTTGGAGTTTAACCCCCGCGTCTGCCTAGCTCGGGTGATTTCAGGACAGTCTCTCACTAGATGCCCTCGGCGGTCGCACATATAACATGCCCGGGGAGGGGGGGCGGCTCCGTAGTAGGTCCCCTGTCCGCTCCCTCTCCCTCCCCCAGTACGCAGTTGTCCCACATCGGACTCTAATTGGGCTACTCTCCCGGCCAGCCCCCCTACGGTCGAGCGTAGTTCCCCCATCTCAGACTGGAGGGTCTTCATATTTTTATTCGCTTCCTCGCGTACCTGGGTTACCCTCTCCCCTACTTGGGTTACCTTACCGTCCATTCGGTCTACTCGGCCAGCAATATCTCCCATGCCGGTCTGTAACCCAGCTACCCAACCCGGGGTTGTCTCGCGGGGTTTCTGGGCCTCTCTTGCCCGTCTCCCCATGGGGCTGGCGGGCTCATCCTCATCCTCCTCCTCGTCAGGGATCAGGCTCGCCACGGTGTACTCCTGTCCCGACCCTCGGAGCTGCGCGCGTTCGCTGGAGAGCTCCTCACACTCCAGCGCTTGCTCGACTAGGGTATCGAAAGGGAGGCCTGCGCTACTCTTTTTGGGCTGCCACCACGCGGTGCGAGCTAGGTACCTGAGTAGCTTGTCTGCAGCTAGCGCGTCAATGACCTCCTTCGAGAACTCTGGACGGGCGATCCGGGTTAGTGATCGCACGTCCTCAGCGTAGTCTCGGAAGTCCTCGCCAGTTTGGCGTCGGCGCGCCTCTAAGGCGGTCTTCGCCCGTATCGCGTTGCGCGTGCCGAAACGCAGGTCTAATCTACGCATTAGTTCTTCTAGTTGGGTTTGCGCGCTTTCGGGTAGTGCCTCTACAAAGTCGGCTGCCCGCCCGTCTAAGTTTAACGTAAGATGTCGCAACGCCTGCGCGTCCGACCAGCCATTAAGCTCTTTAGCCCCTATGATATTACGGGGGTCCCCTGGCCGGTGAACACATGCCTTACCTTTGCGTGGAGTAGCGCGCCACCTTCCCGTGAAGATGTGAGGGTTCGTCCCACTTCTGGCACCAGGTTGTTGGGGCCGCTGGTCCCCGGAGTCCCTCCCTGCTCCGTGCCTATGGCAGGGGCTCCGCCGTGCGCCGACCCCTCGCTGCTCTGCGAGCAGCTGCTGCCGTCGCTGGGCTCATCGCCCGACGGCTCCCCTCCCTGGTCCGTCCCTCCGCGAGCTCGTGTGAGAGGCATAGCTCGCCGCACGCCCTCGTTCACCTGCAGACGCTGCGTTGTCTCTCCACGGATCACGCGCTATTAAACGGGGGTCGGGGGCGAACGACGCTGCCCTCACACTGCGCGAGTCCCGGCGGCGACAGACGGATCGGGGACCTGCGGACGCACCGACCCCTTCACCCACACTACGAGCGCACACACCTGCACACACGCGACACCCACTCGTGCGCCGCTCTACGCAGCGCTCACTCACGTGGTGAACCACAGTGTACACACGCGCACCCACACGCTCACACTGCACGACAATATCACGCGAGACCACGCTTCGCTATTTATGATTTATTATCTGATACCTGGTAATTTAATGTTAAATCAGTGAGTCGACGAGGCTGGCCTACGCTGATACCTTTATACCTATTCCCGATTCATCTGCTATGATTCTAATTCACCTACTTACTTCCTGCTGGATGCCCACGGCGGTTCGTTGATCCCGTGCTCGCAGCGCACCTCGATGCGTCTCACGGACAATCGGGTCGCTGGACTGGAGAGCGTCCTGTCGCCTGGCGCTGGAGAGAAGAGCTATTTTCCCTCTGCGCCCCTCTATTTATCCTCCCTACCTCAAAGGGGATGCTGCGCTAAACAATGGGCTCGCGATCCTCTGGCACGCGCACGGCGGTTCTGGACGCTGTTGATATGCTAATCAGTGTGCTGCGTGCAAGGCGTAAATCCTACTTAATCCCTTACCCTCCCTAACAATGGGGCCTGCGCGCTCAAGCGCAATTATCCCAACCCTCCATGACTATGCGCAACAGCCCCTGTGACCCCGCTATTCATGCTGTCCCGTGCCTCCCCTGCTCGCCCCGTCGACCCGTGGGAGTGTGTGTGGGGGGAAATGCGCCTCAACCGCGGTGGCCGAATGCCCCACGCCGCGACCACACCATATTAAGGCCGGCCGCAGCGCCGCGGTGCCACGTAGCACGGGGGAGGTCATCCAATCCCCTGATCGCCGGAAACCGTGAGAATTAATCCCGATAAGGGTCTCTCGGATAAAAACCGGTCGGCCAAGCGACCTCCCCTCGGAGCTCTATGGGGGGGGGGGGGGGAAATGAGTGCGGGTGTGTTCATGTGAGGTGAGGTGAGGGGGACGCGGGGTCGGCTCCGTTGCTTGGTGGTGGCGAGGTCGGGGATTTGGTGCCTGCCGAACGGCTTCGTGGCGGCGGCATCACAGGTGTGTTTACCACCCACCCAGTCACCCAGCCAGCCACTCAGCCACCTACCCTGCCTCCGCATCAGCCACACACCCACCCATCATCTTCCCTTCTCGTGCCCCCCACAGCCAACATCAACATAATCAATCTCCCTTCACGGAAGGCATGCTAATCTGTTAACTTACCACCCACAGACTGTTAGGGCAAGTGCTGTTCGCGAGGAGCATCTATGAAGGCCGACACGGCACACGAAGGTGCTCGTTTTAATGATGAGTCACCGATGTTGGGCGTGAACAGGAATTGAATTCAGGTGGCCGGGTTCGTAGCGCAGCGCGCTAACCACGGCACTACCCACACACACTCAATCGCCGCCAGACACGGACCACACACGGATTGCACTCACACACGTAGGAGGTGCAGCAGTCAGCGCGTTGCGCTACGAACCCAGCGACCCGAGTTCGATTTACGATCACGGCCAATTAGGCCAATAGAAGCGATGATTTTCTGAACTGGTTCCGGGCCTCCCCTAGGTCGACTCAGCCTCAAATGAGTACCCGATGCGTTGTGTAAATATCGCTCAAACTAGGGAGACAAAGGCGGCCGGGCGTGGTGCTGGCCACCCACACCCCCTCGTGTGCCGTCCCGGCCTTCATATGAGCCATTCGCACGCAGCATTTGCCCCCACAGGCGGCCGCGTGGGGTGTTTGGGGGGAGCTCGGATTCTGGCTCGGAGCTCACAACTTTGAGAGGGCTGTCACCCCACCCACACGCACGGAGGGGAGGATTACATCACGCAGCGCGCGCCGGGGACTCGCTGATGGACGAGGAGGAGGGGACGGTCCCAGGACACGCTGAGTCGTTCATGAGCTGTGACGCCTTTCGCGAGAGTCCGACAGCGGCATGGAGCTTGCGATGGTGGTCGTCATCATCACCGCCACCAGCAGCAGCTCGTGCTGTCACCAGCAGGAGGTTTGAGGCATTGAGGGTCTGGTGTTAACCAACTCCCCTCTCGCCTTGTTTGGAAAGTGGCGGGGCACGCGTTGAGGACGAGGTGAGTGAAGAAGTGGCAGCGACGCTCGACATGCATCCATGATCCAGCTTTGCCTCGGCTCGGATTCCGATGGAGAATCGCGTCACGCGGACCCACGGTTCGTTGCGAGTCGCGCGTTTGTGCGGGGGAAGGAGCTGTGGCTCGCAGTGGTGAGCGTGCACTGTGAGCTTCGGGACCCGCTGATACCGAGTTCGATGTCCAGGTCACTCACGGCTCGCAGTCTCAGTGGCGAGTCACGTCGACATTGATCCGAGGCAATGAGCCCCTTCAACACATCCGTTGACTATCTGGCTGCTGCTGCTGCTATTTTTGATGTCCACGTGATAAAGCCATCATTTGTGATAGCCACGTCGCTTCTGACAAAGAGCTACAGAGTTCAGTGGGCCTTAGCTGGTAAAATAAAATAAAACATTGTTTAGTACTGACCACTGTGGTGAAGTATGGTCAATCCCCCCTTCGACCAACCACTACAGACTATGTATATTTAAAAGCGTATTGAGATGTCCCGTACGACACGAGTATGTAATGTGCGCGTTTAACACACGTGTTTTGCGGGGAGCGATGGGCGCAGTGGTTAGCGCTCTGTGGTTCGAACCCGGCTTCCAGAGTTTGTATCCTGCTCACGTTCAACATCAACGACGAATATGTCAACCCGTACCGGGTCTCGCCTAGGTCGACTCGGCCTCAAATTAGTAGCCTGGTGCGGTGTGTCAGCATCTGCGACTGGGGAAACAAAAGCGACCGGGCGTGGTGCTGGCCACCCACCCGCTTGTGTGCCGTGCCGTGCCCCAACAGTCTATCAATGCTATACAGGGGATATTTATCTTTGTTTGAACATACACATGAATTGACCTAAAGCATTCGTGACTGCAGGAATTCATATTATTTGGGTCTTCTTGGTTCTTTCTGTAAAGTCACGTAGAAGGGAAATAATAAAATAAAATAAAAAATATATATTCTTAGGTTTTTTCGGTAAAGTCACGTAGGTCAAAAAACATTAAAAAGTAAAATAAAATAAAAATCACGACGTTTCGGAGGCAACACAAGCTTCCGTCTTCAGGTAGTACCGTCCACAGCCACGACAGCTGTATAAAGTAAATGAGAGATTGCAGAAGCCACCACTCCGTTTATATATATAATGGTTGGAGTGGTGGCTTCTGCAATCTCTCATTTACTTTATACAGCTGTCGTGGCTGTGACGGTACCACCTGAAGACGGAAGCTTGTGTTGCCTCCGAAACGTCGTGATTTTTATTTTATTTTACTTTTTAATGTTTTTTGACCTACGTGACTTTACCGAAAAAACCTAAGAATATGAATCATTGCAGTCACGAAAGCTTCAAATCTAGAAAAAATATATAATAAAATACAATTCTCACGACGTTTTGGCCACAACGCAAGCAGCCGTCCTCAGGTGAAGAACAGGTCTGTCGGAAAGACAGCGTCTGAATGAACACCACCAAGCTTGGCAGCGTATATTTAAGCTAGGTTAGGGGAGGAAGGGCGCCTTGACAAAGGAATTTGCATATCAACAGAGGAATTTAGCATATTTATGGGAAATGCAGATATGGGATTAGTCACTACTTGTGGAATGCGTAGGAGGGGGGGGGGGGGGTCTCAAAGTCATATTATGCCCGTGCATCATGTAGGATTGGTAGCAACAAAGGGAGGAGGTAGGGTTAGCAGTAATAAAGGGAATGAATTTTAATAGTAAGGAGCTTTTTGGGTCTTCTTTGGGTCTTTCGGTAAAGTCACGTATATAGAACAAATAATAAAATAATATTATTTTTTAAAATTATAATATTATTTTAATAATATTATTTTTATTATTTGTTTTAGCTACGTGGCTTTACCGAAAGACCCAAAAAAGATACACATGAATAGCTGTCAGATATATCTATACACACAGCTATATACATTTGACGTATGTCCTGGCACATATACCGCCGAACACACGCACTTGTTACATCTACTGGTATGTATGTTGAACTTCTTTCGCACCGTACGTAGCCAACCATGCTAATCGGAAGGGGCAAATCGTAGCCGCTAAGCAAGCCGGATTGGAAGTCCGTTGGCTCTCTCCCTGTCTATAAACTATGTATGCAACTTTTTTATTTTACCAGTTAAGGCCCACAGAGCTTTATAGATACGGTTCAGAAGCGACCAGCCCATCACAAATGATAGCTCAACGAAGTGGCGTATCATCATCACGTGGACAAATCTAGCAGCCAGATACTCTAAATGTGGAGGTACAAACTGGAGGACCCGGAGAAAAATTAACACGACCACGGGGGAGAGAGACACGCAAACTCCAAATATACAGCAGGCGTCAGGGTTGAGATCGAGCCCACAACCTCCTGTATACCTGGCGAGGTAATCAACATCTCACCACCGTGTCAATGGGAGAAGCCCTATTGAACGCCTTTCACACGGCCTGACGACGCCTGATGACGCTTTCAGCAGTCACTACCTCATCCACCTCCTGTTCAGCCTGTCATCGGCTTCTGCTCCACATGGCGCGACTGAAACAATAAGTACACCCACTATGTTGCAATGTAATGGTTCTCTAAAACTGTCGGCCATTTAAAAGATAAACTCACCTTTTTTTTACCAGGTAAGGTCCACTGAGCTTTATCTCTCTTTTTTCCAGAAGCGACCTGGCCACAAACGATAGCTCGACGAAAGTGGGCCATCATGTGGATATTTCGAGGAGACAAATACTCTAAACGCACGTTGATTCTAAATGCGGAGGGAAAACCCCGAGGACCCGGAGAACAATCCATGCGATCATGGGGAGACGGGGAGAGTGACACGCAAACTCCAAATATACAGCAGGTGTCAGTGGGCAGTGTTCAATCAGCTCCACAACTACACCATCACCATTACACTTCTAGATTCTTTCTAATCTGGATTCCGAATACCCATAGTCAGTAATACGCATTCATGAATCCCCCCACCACTTCGCGCAAGGAGGGCACACGAGTGGCGTCATCACATCTCTCCCTCTATTTAAGGAACAAAACAGGAGGATTTATCCACAAATCTGGCTGTTGCCTGATGAAGATAGTTGTAATTACTGCCGAAACGTCGTACTCAGATTGTAAATGTTGTTGTGGCTTTGCTCTCCAACACACCGGTGTACTGTACTATTAACGAATTGGCACGTTCTGTTCACGTGACAAACCTTACTAATTGGCTGTGTCGGGTGGTGGCGGGCTTAACGACACATTTATATATTTATGAGATCTAACCCAAAAACAACCTGTATTATGAACAAAACCTAGTCGTTTAACTCGTTCGGATTTGTGGTTCACGCGCCGGGATTTGATTTACTGGACCCGTCGGCGGCCTTCGATGCAGCTGACCACGAATTTTGTTTTGCTGAACCATCGACAGACTCGTTTGAGATTCAGTAACTCAGCGATGTTGTGGTTCAAGTCATATCTTCGGGACAGAGGACAGCATGCGCAATTTTGTGGTTAAGACGAGTCCGAACAAAAAAATGATACCCGGTTGTGCGTTCGAGTTGGCAGGGTGGTTGGTTGCAATGTTGCCTCTTTAACAGCTTGCCTTGCCGACATCAACATTGTTGAGGATCTGTACAATCTTCTTCCACTCAATGCCCGAATAGGCGCTGCTTGCTATTGCTTCTTCTTGCTGGCACAAATAAATCAATTGGTAAAACTAGACGCGGTTGATCTAAACTCACGAGGGTGCCCGATTTATTCCACCTTTATTATTTATTTTCAGTAGTTTAGGATTAAGATGAAAAATAAATGTATTATATGCACTCGCATATAATACATTTATTATATGCACTCGCATATAATACATTTTAAAGAGTTTCGGAGTTTACACGAAATTTTGTCATCTGGGACTTGAGCAGCACCTCGCCTATCTGCCCCTTTTTAAATCCTTTATATTAAGTTCGCTTGCTTGCGTGCTTGCTTGCTTGCTTACGACCGTGCAAACCTTTCGGTCGTTTTTTAACCCACTTCCCGTGATCCAATCGAGCTGACATTTTGCACACAGACTCGTTGTGCGAGACAATTAATGTTCGTGAAAAATCTTTTCCAAATTTTTACACTGTTTAGGGAAAACAAATTAAATATTTAATTACCAATTGTTTAATACTGGCAGACAATCATCTGACCCATAGGTGGCAGCCATTTCAAGCCAGAGGACGAGAGGACTCTAGCCGCCACGCATATAAAGGATTTAGAGTGAAAAACTTTGTTTTTACAGGTTATACTTGTTATCACCTCGGAAACCTGCGCAGTGTACAACACGCCCCCCTTGTTAGTACGAGCAGCCATTGGTGATGAAGTAGCCGTCGCCTCTAATACAGACGCATACACTCTTTGTCATGCATTTGTAGTGAAGCCCGGTCCTTGTTGTGTATGAAGCAGCTGAGGGGCTGTGTGAGCTGGCACCACAGCGGGGAGGGGAGGGGATGGAACTCCCGACTCGCGGTGCTGAATGTGAGCCTTGTCGGCGCCGCTGAGTGGATGGAGCCACCTGCTCTTGCAGCTCGTGGGCGCGAGGTAGAGTGTGGGGGCAGTTAACGGGCAGCCACGGGGCTGCCAGTATGGGCAACGTAGGGAGTAGGAGAGGCGATATAAAAATGGTGAAGTAGAAGTTGGGGGCAGTTAAGCCTCGAGAGGAAAGGGAAGTGGCTGGGTTATGAGAGCTCCATAGCAAGCTATAGGAAAAATAAGCATGAGTGTAATAAAAAAGTTACCGATTGTTAAAATTGTTTAGTAATATATTTGATTCAATTGTGTTACCCATTCTGGATACAAAATATACACGATGGTCAGCGTCTTCTCTTATGGTGTTGATATATAGCAACATTTTAAGCGACGTTACACATTCAGAATTTCTCAGCTTCATTTATTTAGAATCGCTGTCTATTCTGGCCTACCACGCAACATGAAGTAAACACCTCCAAACTACAGTCCTACCGAATGCAGCCGCCAAGAGTACTGACTGAACTCATCTCCCCCGGCGCTGGAGAGATCTACACTTGTTGGTTGCCGGCTCTACTCAGGATAACATTTACAATCCTCCGACTAACTTAAAATGAATGGCATCGGATGGTGGCGGCATGGGTTCCCGCCTACCTCTGAACTTTTGTAAAGATGTGTTCCATCACCACAAGTCTCCAACATCCATGACACATGAGCCTCCTTCCTCTGGCTTCTTCGGTGTAGGTGTTGTCACTTTAAGGAAGGGGCTGGCCAATTCCTTTGTTTGGCTCCCACGATGTGGAGTGACCTCTCCCCCCCTCCCATTCACATCGGAAAAGCTGGTACTGTCGTTGATGCGCATTTAAAAGGTGGCTTGAATACCCCATCTCTTCGGTGTGACACCATTCCCAGAAGGAGTGAATTCTGTTGGCTCGACAACCACTATTCGACGGTCGGGTTTTTGTGGGGGAGTAGGCGTGCCAAGCGTGAGTCTCCACAACCGTGGAAGTTCATATTAACTCTTAATTATATATTTATTTTCAGGGAAGGCCCACTGAGCTTTGTAGCTCTTTTTTCAGAAATGACTTTACCACTAATGATAGCTCAACAAAGTGGCTTATCGTCACGTGGAAATTTATGGCAGCCAAATACCCTAAACGCGTGTTTCTAATTGTGGAGGGAAAACCAGAGGACCCGGAGCTAAACGACGCGACCATGGGGAAAGAGAGACACGCAAACTCCCAATATACAGCAGTAGGCATCGTCAGGGTTGGGATCGAACCCCGCGACCTCCTGTACACCAGGCCCCCGCCTGACTATTAAGCGGTGTCCACGTTTTACCCACTTCTTGGAATCGCCGTCGACCACCACAAGCCTCCCGCCATCTCTCCTGCGTCTTCCCCAACTCACCCCCACCCCGCGCAGGTGATGGCGTCCTCTGGCAACTTGAACTCTTCCTCCGGCGCAAGCGCCCACCCCGCTTTCCAGGACACCCTCTACGTAGTGATCTACAGCCTTCTCTTCCCCGTGGGACTGGCGGCCAATGCGCTGGCCCTGTGGGTCTTCTGCCGCCGCCTGCGGCCGCTGAAAAATGGCGCCACCGTCTACATGACGTGTCTCGCCACCACCGACCTGCTCTTCGTCCTGTCGCTGCCCTTCCGCATCTCGTACCACGCACACCGCCACTGGAAGTTCGGCGAGGCGCTGTGCAAGTTGACGAGCGCCCTCTTCTACGCCAACCTGTACGCCAGCGTGCTCTTCCTCACCTGCATCTGCGCCGACCGCTACCTGGCCATCGCCCACCCACTGCGTTTCCCGGGCGTGCGCACGCCGTGCGTGGCGCGCCTCGTCGCGCTGGGCGTCTGGGTCATCGTCGCGCTCGGCACCATCCCCATCTACCTGCTCGACACCACCAATGCCAAGCTGGGGTTCGTGAAAGGTGAGCATGGTGGGTGGTGGAGGGGGTGTGGGAGGGGGGGCAACTGGGGGGGGGCTGTTTTTGCTGCATTTTAGCCTCCCGGCACATCATTCGTTGTTGTCATCATTGCTCCTCTGCACTGCGTTTGTTGTTGGAGTGCAATTGCCTCCCAACTGCCCAGTAGCGTCCTTCAAGAGCTTCCCCCACAGAGGCCGATCATCCTGTACCCCATCTCAAGGACGTTGCTATGCCCATTAGCTACTCTTTGGTCAAATAGAAGTTGCTTGGACATATGGTGACTGGGCATGCAGGCTACATGACCTAAAGAACCCCAGAGGAGCTAACCGATGAGACTGTCCAGATATTTGAAAGGTTTATGAGTTCCTCACACAATGCAGCCTGGTTAAACCCAGGATGGACCACAAACAGGCCAGCCTGAATGTATTGAATTGGTGCAGATGTTTCCCAAAAGGGGTCCACGTTTCACAAGCATAGAGATGGGATGGTATAATTGTGGCTGAGAATGCCCAAAGCTTCATATAAACTATTTTACCAGGTACGGCCCACTGAGCTATGAAATTCATTTTCAGAAGCATTCTGGCCATAAATGATAGCTCAACGAAGTGGCTTGTCATCATGTGGATATGTATAGCAGTCACATACTCTAAATGCATGTTTTTGAAATATGGGAAAAAAACAGAGGACCCGGAGAAAAATCCACACAACCACGGAGATAACATGCAAACTCCAAATTTACAGGTTTAGAGTCGGGATCGAACCCACGACCTCCAGCATACCAGGCGAGGGAGTAAACTTTTGCCACCTTAGTGCCCATATATGGAACGATAGGCCAGGTAGCTACCACACAGCGTTACGAAGCTGATGTTATCACCAGTCGACTGATTCGGAATGAGATCTCCGCTGCCAAACCGAAAAGAGTAATAAGAACTGCTTTTTGTGTTAGTTTGTTGTCCTTCCCCCACACTACTGATTAGCGCGGTTGGCTACATAAGGTGTAAAAGAAGTTCAACATACATACATACATTCATACACACCGCACAGGTATGAGAATGCCTCCAATCTTTCCTCTAACTCAGGGGAAGATGAGGTGAGATGTCGTTGTTGTCAATGCTGGATTATGGACCGGGCGAGTGGGGCCAGTGCCCCGGGGTCTCGGACTGCCAGGGGGCCTCCAACCCTCATGCTGCGTGCGGTGCGTGGCCCAAGACTTCCGAAGGAAGTTGAACGCCAGGACCCTCAGTGCGCACAGCGCAAGCTGACCACGAGGCCTCTGGGTGCTTAAAGCGTGAGCTCACCACTCGGGCCCCTCAGACCCCTCAGTGCTTACAATGTGAGGGCCCCCCAGACTCCTTGGTGTTTAAAATGTGAGCTGACCACTACTGCCCCCCATACCCCTCGGCGCTTACAATGTGAGGACCCCAGGCCCCTTAGTGTTTAAAATGTGAGCTGACCACTAGGGTCCCCGGGCCCCGCAGCAATTACAATGTGAGGGCCCCCAGACCTCTTGGTGTTTAAATGTGAGCTGACCACTAGGGTCCCCGGGACCCTGGGTGCTTACAGTGTGAGTTGACCACTAGGGCCCCCAGGCCCCTCGGTGCTTACATCGAGCGTAACACCTTGGCACCTTGGTACATACAGTGCATGCTTAAAACGAGAGCCTCTCGGAGAGTACAGTGCATCTGTACAACTGAGCCACTGGTTGGCACGCTACAACACGCAGTGACATGATGCAATATTCACCAACACGTCAGTTCATTCTGCATAACAGGACAGGTTGAGGGCGTCTTATTATGGCAAGGCGTTACGTTATTTGACTTACTGTAACTAGCTATCACTTTATTTTAGCTAGCTGCCCATTTTCCCTAGCTAGCTGCCCATATGATTCAGCTTGTTAACACATTATTTAGCTTGCTGCCATTACAACTAAATTAGCTGCACTAAAATGCCAGCTAGTGAGACCGAGGGCTCGAGAGTTTAGTTAGCCGTTGACAAATCAATTATTAAAAATACACCGCGGTTTGTGAAACATTAAACAAATATGGCAAAAGCTATATTTTTTCACACACTAACGCATATATAAGAGACCCAATCCATACTTAAAGATTAAGGAAAACCCCATTCATTTTTTCCATAGACTGTCTGTTTTTAGATCCACGGAAGTAGACAATGCTAACGTTGACATGCAAATTGTCGACAGCTCTTACGAGGTCTTTTTTTTCCCCTCCCCATCGATGGGTTGTGGCCTATGTGCATAGTCTCCACCAAGTCATTTCACTGACTTATCAGAAACCTTTATTGGTTGTTCAGCCAATGAAAAAAAGTTATCTTTTGAATTTCAAGCAACATTATTCTCTCTGTGTTAGGCAGGTATTTAAGACAATTCTTGGTAGGAAAAGCCACAGACAGATGCTTGTTTTCTTGCTTGGTAAACCACAGTAATATATTCAGATACTTTTTTCATCTTTTTCTAAAGCAACAGCCTTTTTAAACGCTATTTCAACAATCCCTCCTTAGGGATATTTTCTAACAGCCTTTTTAAAGGGTTATGGTTATTTTCTTTTAAGTGCTTTTTTTATCTACTCAAAACTGCCTTTAGGTACAAGTAGACTAAAAAATACTGCCACTTTATTGTATTTTCCAACAACAGTATTTGAAGGGTGTTGTCATTATTAATATATGTTAATTCAATTATTATGTAATAATATTGAGAAATGCTATAAATATATTCATTCTAGACTTGAAGCTTTCGTGACTGCAAGGAATCATATTCTTAGGTGTTTTCGGTAAAGTCACGTAGGTAAAACATCAAAATTTATAAAAATAATAAAATAAAATAAAGATCACGACGTTTCGGAGGCAACACAAGTCTCCGTCATCAGGTGGGACAGTCACAGCCAGATCAGCTGCATCAAGTGAGGCAATGATTCAAGATGTAATCCCTTAAAAGCGAGTTGAGGGGGGAGGAGAGGGGGGGGCTCATCAAAATGTGGTAGCCAATGAATGGAAAGTATCGGGAGAGAGGGGCCAAAAAAGGGTGGGCGACGGCGTGGAAGCTATTGTGCGCAAGCGACACACTGCTGCCCACGCCAACGCATTGGACAGAGAGGGGGGAGGGGGAGGTCTGATACACATGATAGAAAAGAAAAGAAAATGCGTATGTTTATACCAATGCTGGCTGAACAATGAAGAGATTACTGTTAAACACTGGGGATGTTAACACTCGGTAAAGTAAAGTAAACTAGTGCCTGTCAGATAAGATGGTCAAAAAAGTGTAATTAAGTCTTTTTTTGCGTGGTTAATAACATCTTTCCAATGATTACTAAGTTTGTACCCATCACCACCCTTTTTTGGCCCCTCTCTCCCGATACTTTCCATTCATTGGCTACCACATTTTGATGAGCCCCCCCCTCTCCTCCCCCCTCAACTCGCTTTTAAGGGATTACATCTTGAATCATTGCCTCACTTGATGCAGCTGATCTGGCTGTGACTGTCCCACCTGATGACGGAGACTTGTGTTGCCTCCGAAACGTCGTGATCTTTATTTTATTTTATTATTTTTATTAATTTTGATGTTTTACCTACGTGACTTTACCGAAAACACCTAAGAAATATATTCATATAAATAGCATACTAGTTCTGAAATATGGACTACAAACGTTGGAGTAGTGGTGCTTCCAAAAGGAAAGCCAAAAAAGAAAAGGAGGCAAGAGAGGAAGTTTTGCTTCAAAGTGTTCCACTCATTGCCAACGTCTTTCAAAAAAACATCTCATGGTACTAATGATGACAGCAGCACTATTGTCAGCTGTGAGAAAGGAATTAGCACTAGTTCAGTTTCCAGTAATGTTGTCACTCCCCCAGAGCCATCCTTTGAAGGCGAACCCTCAACAGCTGATGGTATACAAGAACCATCATTTCCACCTTTAGGAGCAGTTGGGCAGTTCACAAGAATCACAACAGCAACCAAGCCATTCCTGGTGCTATGAGGTCACTGACCCTTCATTATGGCAAAGCACTTCCAGTGACATTGTTAAGTCAGTGCTTATTGAAAGAGGAGCAGTCCCCTTCCAAAACCGCAGTGAAAAATACCCAGCTTCAGTCCGAGATAGAGCACTTGGTGGAAAGACTAGAAGTTTCAACAATAAACTTCTGAACTGTATATTGCCAAATGGGCAGAAGGTGTTTAGACAGTGGCTACCGTACTCACCCTCAACAGGTTGTGTGCACTGTTTTACATGCAAACTGTTCTCCAGCAAGCTCGGTGGCCTTAGTCAGGGGTTTAGTGACTGGAAGCACTCTGGAAGAATAGGGGAACACGAAGAGAGTGCAGAACACAGATCATGCATGCTTGCCTTGCACCAGCGGACAAAGGGCAGTGCTATAGATGCAGATCTCATGCAGCAACTTGATGGGGAACGTAAATACTGGAAGGACATTTTAAAAGAGTTGTAGCAGTGATCAAGTTCTTGGGTGAAAGAGGACTGTGCTTCGAGGATATGATGAACGGTTTGGGTCAACCCATAATGGTAATTTCCTTGGCATCCTAGAAATGCTATCACAATTTGACCCATTCTTAGCTGAACATATTAAAAAGTTAGGGAAAAAGGAAGAGGCACAGTGTCCTATTTGTCATCGACAATATGTAAAGCACTCATTGAGCTAATGGGTCATAAAACTCACCAAACAATAGCAGATGAGATTTGGGATGCCAAGTATTTTTCAATAATTGTTGACTCTACCCCAGACCTGTCACATGTGCACCAATTGACGTTCATATTCCGGTTTGTTAACAGCAGCGGGAATGTGGTGGAGCGATTCCTGGGCCTTGAGCCAATTGAGAGCCACACTGGTAAAGTTTAGCAGACTGTGTGACTTTGATGGTGGAGGGCCTTGGGTTGGACCTCTCAAACTGTAGAGGTCAGTCATATGACAATGCAAGCAACATGTCAGGAAAATACAATGGCTACAGGCCCACCTGAAACAAAACAAAAACACTGATAGAGTCTGTGCCTTGCGCAGCGCATTCACTTAACTTAGTTGGTGTCAACACCTTAAACGGCAGTAGCCCAGAGGCTGAAGAGTTTTATTTAACATGTTGCAGTCACTGTACACATTTTGCTCTTCATCCACACACAGATGGAGGAAAGTATTTCGGAAGACAGATGTCAGACTGACATTAAAATCGCTGTTCAGTACTCGGTGGAGTGCTCGGGCAGAGTCAACCAAGGCACTGTGGAGAAATTACACTCATATTAGAGAGGCCTTCAGTGGTATGTGCAATGATGCTAATGAGAAAATAGATACTCGAATTGAGGCCGCTGGACTATGTGCTAAATTGGACACCTTAGAGATGGTGTTCATGGCACATTTCTGGGACGTCATACTTGACCGGTTCCACGCTACAAGCATGCACCTACAGACAAGTGACGTTGACATCTCTGTGGCAGCACAGCTTTTGTCTTCGTTGCGGGATTTTGTGGCGGGACAGCGAGACCAGTTTGAGGCTTTTAAAAGGGCAACCTTAAATGTGACAGGTGTCTCTCAGTCATATAAGCACAATCTTCAGCGAAAGCGGAAACGCAAAACATTTGCAGATGAGAGCTCAGAGCCAGGTGTGACACTTGAGGGGAGGGAAAAGTTCAAAATAGAAACATTTTATGTGGTCATTGATAAGCTAGTGGCATGCCTTGAACATCGCTTGGACGCTTACAAGCGTTTGACCAGTCTCTTTATAGTTCTATTTATGTCAGATCAGGTGTCTAACAGTGATGTCATAGTGGAAAAGGTAAATGCGCTCTCCGCTGTATATCCATCAGACCTGGACATTAACTTTGCCAACGAACTCATCCAATTCAAGACTTTCATGTCTGACTCTGAGGGTGAGAAGTGCCCAACTAAATTGCTTGCGACGTTGCAGGCACTTAATCTGCAGTCGGTGTTCCCCAATGTTTTCGTGGCACTTCGGATTTTTCTAACTTTGCCAGTGACAAACTGCCAGGGTGAGCAGACATGTTCCCTTTTAGGCAGAATAAAAAATGAGCTGCGGAGTAGCATGTGCCAAACACGTCTCAGCTCATTGTCACTTATATCAATAGAGTCAGACCTTGTCAGACAGCTAGATTTTTACAATCTAGTGGATCATTTTGGGAGGAGAAAGGCAAGAAAGACACCAATATAGAAAAGCGGGTGGGGGGGGGGGGGCTCCAAAAGACTTGTTCCCAGGGTCCTCACGGGACCATGATCCGGCCCTGGTTGTTGTTATCAAGACAATACGTGGACCTGTTTCATCACGTGCCGTGTATTCGAGTCGTCGAAGTGCAGCTAACATGGTTGTAGAAAGAGGGGGGGGGGGCAGGGGCGCCACCGGAGGGCGTGATGTAGAGTGTTTAAGTAAGAAACATTATAGGCGGCTCAAGAGCGTTCGTACTTTCCCTCCACCCATCCTAGTCCGTCACTCGTCTAGTCCATCAGGGAGTTTGTACCCTTTTCATCATTGGTCCCCGACTCCCCGTCCGGCAAGCTCATATCCCTTGAGCTTTTGGCTCAAATGCTTCGATACCCACACATGCTAGGAGCGTACTGTACCACGGTTTCCATGTGGGTGGTTTGTGGTGAGATGTAGTTGTATTATGACATTAAAAACAACCGAGGCATGTGCTTTGTTTTTGTTCGTGGCAGCAGAGTCTCCAACTCCTCTGAGTGGTTGACTAATAGGAAGCCATCCCTTGACTGTACCCGTGCATGGATTAACCTTCCATTGAATTCCCTCCTGCTGAATTGGAGGCGAGCCCAATCACGCACCCCAGCTTTTAACCTATATTTGAGGCAGTGTGAAATTATATGGTCTGCAGTTTTGTGTATCGGACGATCCAAGCTGGGCAGTGCGGTGGTGGCGGTGTTGGTGGGCTCGCTGATATTTATCTTTTAAAGGAACAACTGTTTATAAGTATTAAAAATAATAATAGATTTTATACTTTCTGGCAATACAAATGGTGTTAAGATGTTCAAACACCAAATAGATACCGTTTGCAAGGAATCAAGTCTTCATTAACCACACGTACATGTGATGAACATGTAAACAAACTCTGATACATAATATATTAATTGTCTTTGAAATTGATTAACCTACACTACAGACAGCCTTTGTGGCCTAGTCTCAACCAGTGTTAGACCAGATAACGCCAAAAAGCGAACAGCACGGACAATGCACTATCAGGGAATTTATAGCTCGCGGTAAACAGCTACAATATGGAACCTTTACCAGAGCAAGTTTTTTTTTTTTGCATGTTGACCACAAGTACGTGTGGTTAATGCAGACAGGATTCCTTGCAAAATGTTTCTGTTTGGTATTTTAACATCTTTATACCTGTTTTATTGCCAGAAAGGGTAAAACCTATTATTATACAATAAAGTGTATAATATTCTTTAAATTATATAAACATATACAATTATATATATATTTCACTTAGCAACAACAACAAAATTGCTGTACTCAGGATCGTTAACAGTGGCAGTGGCTTGGGGAGGCCAATGACGATGATAATGGACAGTATTCTATGAGATCTCTTTTACCAGTGGCAAAATATAGTAGTAGGGTTTTACCCTTATAAACTGGTACAAAACTGACACCTTTATTCAAGGCATCATGTTTGCAATAACCATAACACAAGTAGTCAAAAAAGCAAACAAAAAGAAGCAACTCTGATAATGATAATAATATGCACTGTCTTTGAAGTTGATTGGTCCACACCCGAGACGGCTTTCTTTAGAGCCTAGTCCCCATTGGTGTTGGACCAGATGACACCAGAAGGCGTACAACTCAAACACAGTGCAATATCAGAGTCTTGAGAGCTCGGGGTAAGCATTTACACTATGAGATCTCTTTTACCAGTGGCAAAATATAGTAGTAGGTTTTTACCCTTTTAAACTGGTACATAACTGACACCTTTATTCAAGGCATCATGTTTGCAATAACCACAACACAAGTAGTAAAAAATCAAACAAAAAGAAGCTACTCTGATAATGATAATAATATGCACTCTGATAATACTATATTTTGCCACTGGTAAAAGAGATCTCATAGTGTAAATGCTTACCCCGAGCTCTCAAGACTCTGATATTGCACTGTGTTTGAGTTGTACGCCTTCTGGTGTCATCTGGTCCAACACCAATGGGGACTAGGCTCTAAAGAAAGCCGTCTCGGGTGTGGACCAATCAACTTCAAGGACAGTGCATATTATTATCATTATCAGAGTTGCTTCTTTTTGTTTGCTTTTTTGACTACTTGTGTTATGGTTATTGCAAACATGATGCCTTGAATAAATGTGTCAGTTTTGCACCAGTTTAAAAGGGTAAAAACCTACTACTATATTTTGCCACTGGTAAAGGAGGTCTCATAGTGTAGATGCTTACCCGAGCTCTCAAGACTCTGATATTGCACTGTGTTTGAGTTGTACGCCTTCTGGTGTCATCTGGTCCAACACCAATGGGGACTAGGCTCTAAAGAAAGCTGTCTCGGGTGTGGATCAATCATCTTCAAGGACAGTGCATATTATTATCATTATCAGAGTTGCTTCTTTTTGTTTGCTTTTTTGACTACTTGTGTTGTGGTTATTGCAAACATGATGCCTTGAATAAAGGTGTCAGTTTTGTACCAGTTTATAAGGGTAAAAACCTACTACTATAATGGACAGTATTGTTGTTGTTGGTGGCAGCGGTATCTGATTTGGTACTGACAGTATTTCTATTGTTCTGCTGGCGTGTGCTGGGGCTGATGATGACCATGCTGCTGCCGGTGCAGTCACTGCTGCTGGTGCTGGCGCAGCCGAAACCTGTTTCCAGGGCTTCTCCGAGTCGGACTGGGAGACACTCTCTGCCGTAGTGCTGGCGGTGGAGCTCGTCGGCTTCATTGTCCCACTCTCCATCATGGCGCTGTGCTCGTGTGGCATCGTCAGAGCTCTGCGCCGCGTGCGCCGCGACCGCCGCCAATTCCTCCACGTCCATCTGGGCAACGCCAAGGCCCCGCGGGGATTGAATGCCGCCACCGCCACCGACCGCCCGACCGGCCATCGGGACGGCGACGGTGACGACGACAGCGGCGGAGAGGGGGACGACGACCTCAGCAAGGTGGGCCGGCTGGTGGTCAGCACGCTGGCCATCTTTGTCATCTGCTTCGCGCCCTACCACGTCGAGATGGTGTTCTATATGCTGCTCCGGCGGCAAGTGCTGCGTGGTTGGGCGCGCCTGGAGCAGGTGGTGCGCTTCGTGCAGCCCATCACGCTCTGCCTCGCCAGCTCCAACTGTGTCCTTGACCCGCTCATCTACTACTACCGGGCCAAGGCCTTCCGCCGGGCACTCACGCTCGGCGCTGGCCCTGTCTGCAGCGGCGGAGGGAGCCGCTGGCGCCACTGGTGCCGCTGTCGGTGGCCTTGGTCGGTGGAGGAGGAGGGACGGCAATGCTCCAGTGAGCCGGCAGTCATGATGCTGCGTTCTGACACCTGAAGGGGGTTTATTGGAGGTCCCTGTGGGACGGGGTCAGGCTCCAGTTGTCATGAGGGGGTGGACAGTACTCTGGTCAGGGCAGGAAACTGACAAACAACAGGGAGCGGCTCTGCTCTCTGAACAAAATAATGATGAAGTGGGTGTGGTAAACCGTTGAGGCGGGGTGTGGGGACGCTGTGAATCCCAGGCTGTTGTGGGCTCGCCCCCATCAACAGGAGGTAAAGATTGCTGGTGGGTTTCAAGTTCAAGTTTCATTTATTAGGTATAGCCCTGTGAGCCATGCGGCTCTTGAGTCGGGTGCAACCGCAACAACCAAAATATGAACAGAGAACATCTTAAAGCGACGACGCACAACAGAAACATCCTAGATAAACCAGCAAATCTTCCAAAAACAACCACCGTATTACAACGCTGTGTGCAAAAATCCCAGTGTGATGCAAGTCAAACAATAACAACCATAAGACAATTTAGATTCAAGTTATCAGGCCAACTCCGCACTTCTGCAAAGAAACATGGCTTAACCATATGTTTTCGAAATCACCAAAATAAAGCTATAAAATACAATGTAACAACAGTAATCATAGGAACTTTGATTCAAATTTAACAATAAACGATATACATAACATGTACGACCAAACTTGCAGCCATTTCTGGAAGCATGACACTCCCAGTGTATGATGTGTGAGTGAGTCAATGGTAGTGTGAGTGAGTGTATGATGTGTGAGTGAGTCAGTGTAAGATGAGTGAGTGTATCACGGCATCCTCCCTGCCATCACGGCCTCCTCCACGCCATCACGGCCTCCCCCACGGCATGATGGCGTGGAGAAGGCTGCGCACTACGCAGAACGCGCACGCGCGCGCGCACCACGGGGGGATAGAGATTGCTGATGCACTACAGGCTACCAAAGCCACGGTGGTGAGATGTTAACTACTTCACCTGGTATACAACACCTGCTGTATATTTGGAGTTTGTGTATTCTTTCTCCCCGTGGTCATGTGGATTTTTCTCTGGGTCCTCTGGTTTTTCCCTTCACATTAAGAATCAGCACACGTTTCAATTATTTGGCTGCTATACATTTCCACGTGATAAGCCACTTCGTTGAGCTTTCATTTGTGGCCAGGTCGCTTCTGAAAAAGAGTACCATAGCTCACGTCCGTGTTTGCCAACTGGCTGTGATAAGCCCAGGTCACACTCCAATTGCCCTCTGCATTTTCAGAGTGTACGCAAATCACTGCCTGGTTGGGGTTATGTAGATTTTCCATACCGAGGCCCCTTGTTTGACCCAGGTATAGGCCAGAAAAAATGGCATCTGTGTTCAGGTGGCAGCAATGTATGTCGAGCGAGATCTGGTAGGGGTGTTTGCTGTGTTGAACTTTATTGCAGTCGCCTGCACATAATTGATAAACTGAGAGCCATGACTGGGATTGGTTCTGTGGTGGGAAAGGTGGGCGAACCTACTATAGACGCGTCCAATCGTCAGTCTATTTAGTTATGATAAACGCAAATTACATGCAGATTATATATCCAAATTCTACACTTGGGGCAATGTATTGAATGGATATAGAATCAGTACCAGTATACAGGGTGTCCGAACATGAATATACCAAAAAGAATGTTGATTAGTTTTATTGTTATTCGAGATAGTGACATAAATTTAATATGAATACATGTAATAGTTTTAGTTTGTTTAATTTTGTATGGTATTAATGGGATGTTCGAGAATTGTTAATACACTTCTACATGTCGTCCATCATTCATTCTAATCCATCTAATTCGGCGTTCAAACTCTTATGAAAGATTTCCCAATACAGCTGTAGGGATGGATGATGACACAGCAGCATCAACAATACGATGTTTAACTTCTGCAAGGTCCCTTTGTTTGCTGGTGTTAGACTTTACTTTTTAACACACTTCGAAGATAAAAATCGAATGGTGTTAAGTCAGATGAAGGAGTGGACTTGTCTTTATATCATAAAATGGAGCTCCTGAAACAGAAAGTAGCAATCAATATTCACAATATACTAAAACTTATAAGTCTAATGCAAATATCCATGTCAAACTTAGGTGAGTATCTCGAACAACAATACAACTAATCAACTTTCTTATTGGCATATTCATTTTCCGATGCCCTATATATTTAAAAAAACGTTGATTGAAGAAAAACACCAATTCTCGAATCAAAATTGCGACACATTCATGGATTGTCAAGCGGAGTGACTTGCCACACGCATGCCGGGGCTGCGCGTTCCCGTGCTCGTATCTGTGGTCACCCAGGGCTGCCTCCCGGCACCGAACGCCACGCAGAGCAGTAGGCCTCTCCCGTCAGGGCCTCTCCCCTCGGTGCCTCTCCCCTTGGGGCCTCTCCCCTCGGGGCCACTCCTTGTGCCCTGTGCTCGTATGTCAGACAAACGGTGACTCAATTCATTAACTGAATCTAATGTAATTTCTAAGCTCAGTTGTATACTTTTATAACGTCTCGTAGATTCATCGATAGTGTTCATGTGCATATCTTTAAAAAAAAATAGCATTTACCGAAGAATATTGTTTAGGACTTGTAGGGTTATTACATTTCATGAATCATTACATTTAATTGTTTAGACTTGTCTGACATTCGGAGCCAAACTTTCCATAATGAGACAAGGGCTCTGTATGGGATGAGACGAGGGTTCTGTATGGGATGAAACGAGGGTTCCACTTTACACAGACTTCCCTGTTAAAAAAAGTCGTCAGAAGACTACCTGTTAAACACTCCACAGATGTATATTCATGTAGTATGGTCACACTTTTTTTTATGAAGTCATAAAAAATGCTCATTCTTTTAACTTATAAAACGTTATAATTACTACGACTATGACAGTGTTCCATGTTACTGTTCAGTGTATGATAATGATATATTTTTTTTACCTGTGTGTTTTTTTATGAACGTCGTTCACTCTTTACTCTGTTGCCATTGAATACAGAGCAGCATACACGGTGATCCTCATACGGTCAAAATTATTCGTCGACTCTTCCCAATTTTTTTTTGCGCACGCGGTTGTGCTCCTGGCGTCGCGTCGTCAGATGGGGAATCCGTTCGTAAATCTGGCGGAGGCGGAGGCCGAGCATCGCGCGCAAAGCAACGTCGTCACAGTGGCACGCTCACCCCATTCACACAACCCCACTCCCAAAGACAAAGATCCCCCCTATAGCCTTTGACAGACTGTAAGGGGCAAGTACTGTTAGCAGGTAGCAGCACCTATGAAGGCCGGAATGGCACACAAGGGGGTGGGTGGCCAACGACCACGCCCGGCCGCCTTTGCATCCCTAGTGGTAATGTTTATACACCAAACCAGGTACTCATTTGAGGCTGAGTCAACCTAGGGTAGGCCCAAGACTGGTTCGGATAATCGTCACCGGTGATGGCCGTGAGCGGGAATCGAACTCAGGTGGCCGGGTTCATGGTGCAACGCGCTCACCGCAACCTGATTTGCGTCGCCTCAACCCCACACGCACGTCGCTGACAGCATCGTCACCCGTCCTGTCTCGTTATCCACCGCCCACTCTGTAAATCGCTTCGATTGACGTCGTTTCGACGATGATGGTGACCACAATGGCGATGGAACCAGCCGTGTTGTCTTAGCGAGGGCCCCCCGGGGTTTGATCTGTGTTTATTCTGAGCGGTTCTTGTTTAGAGCCGAAACTCTTCCGCCCATTTGTGATGTTTACGTTCAGGCTTGGTGTTTAGTTTCGGGAATGGTCACCGGGCGCCCTCCACCCCGCGTCCGTCCTTATAAAGCCTCCACCTCGGAGTCATCGCCCCCGCTGTCTGTCTCGTGTCACCGGTCGCCGTCGTGTTGTTGCAGCTGTCGGCGAGCGCGGCGCGTGTGCTGCGCGTGAGCATAATCCCAGCGTTCGCCGATAAGACATCACCATCAGTGCGTGTGGGGGGTCCGCCACGCCACTTCTAACCATTGGGGGTTTGTGGCAGCAGCACGGCGGTGATGATGATGACGATGGGGGGTGTATTCACTCTCTGTGTATTGTCGTGGCCCGCACTGAAGGCCACCCAAATGACGAACACTGGGTCTGTGACGATACAGAGCTCTCCCTGAAGCCCGAGTGAAAAGCAATGCCAAGGGTTGACCAATCCTGGCCAGGTGGCTCATAACACCGAGTAAAGTAATCACGAGCATCGTCGTTGTGGAGAAAATAAAGAACAAAATAGATAACACACACGCAATGCCTCCTTCAAATATCTCCTCTCGCCATATTCCAAAAGAAAAATCATCTTTTTCGCACATCCCATCAGCTGCACGTGCTTTTGGGAGTGCACCATTTCAGCAGCATTCATTGAAGGCAAGCAAACACTCTGGGCCGGTTTCGACACGCGGCGGTCTCATCAGCAGAGTCGGGCACCGTAGTCCGCACTGCGTGTCCAAATCGGTCCAGAGTCGAGGGGCATGAGGCAGGATCCACATATCTGGGCCCAATCCCCGTCTCAATTATCAAGGAATTGGCCCTCCCCTGCATGCACCCGAGCGGGTCCGGGCTGTGTGCCCAACAGCTTCTATCTGTGGAATCTGCTTGGCCGGTATGAAAATGATGATGGAAATATAAGTAGACATGTCACCCTTTTCACAAGCGTGGGCGAGATGTTAACTACCTCGCCTCGTATGGAGGAGGTGGTGGGTTCGCTCCCAACCATGATGCCGCCTGCTGTACATTTGGAGTTTGAATATCTCTCTCCCCATGGTCGCGTGGATTTTATCTCCGGCTCCTCCGGGTTTTCCCTCCACATTTATAATCAATGTGCGTTTAGAGTATTTGGCTGCTATAAATGTCCACGTGATTGAACCACGTCGTTGAGCTATCATTTGTTGCCAGGTCAATTCTGAAAAAGAGCTACAGTATATGTGGGCCTCACCTGGTAAAATTAAAATAATGTTGAAAGTTATAGACTGGTGATATCCGAGCCAGAATCTGAGCTCCCCCAAACAACCCACACGGCCACCACAAAGATCCCCCGAGTAGCCTTGACAGACTGTTGGGACAAGTGCTGTAAGCGAGTAGCACCTATGAAGGCCGGCACGGCACACTAACCGCCACCACAAAGACTGAGATCCCCTGTATAGCCTCAACAGACTGTTGGGGCAAGTACTTTTAGTGGGTGGCCAACACCACGCACGACCGCCTTTGTCTCCCGAGTGGCGATGTTTACACACCGCACCAGGTACTAATTTGAGGCTGAGTCGACCTAGGACCGGTTCAGATAATCGCTGTCACTGGTGATAGTGGCCGTGAGCGAGAATCGAACTCGAGTCGTCGGGTTCATAGCGTGCAGCGCAGCGCTAACCGCCACCAAAACAACAACAACCGCCATTTGCCACTCAGTGACGGTGACGTCACTACGACGCTTGTGCCAGGCTATGTGCACTTTGAGTCCACGTGAAGTGTCGAACGCCCGCTGGCAGGAGGTCACGGGGCAGACCCAGGTGCCACGAGTAGACTGACTGAGATAACCAGCTGATGCACCACCTGTGCCCCCTACTGTGCCAACTTGCTGTGCTTTAGCCACCTGACGCTCCGCTCGTTGTTGTGAGCGTCGCTCCTCCGCCCTCTGTTGCTGTTGGAGGGCGACTGCCTCCAACTGCCCAGTAGCGTCCTTCACGAGCCTCCTCCACAGAGGCCGATCTTGACACCGCTGGTACCAGTCATCGGCAAGTCCACTCAGCTCCACGTCCTCCTGTACCACATATCTCTATATCTTCTCTAGCCCGTGCTGCACCCGTTTAGCCCCCTTTATCCGGCCGAACAAAAGCTGTTTAGGCATGCGGTGACTGGGCATGTGGGCTACATGACCCAGCCAACGCAGCCTTGCCTGCCGGAGGAGCTCACCGATGGAACTTTGCCCAGATCTTTTAAATATTTGTGAGCTCTTCACACAATCCAGCCTGGTTAAACCCAGGATGGATCGTAGTCAGGCCAGCCTAAATATTTCTACCCGGCGAAGATGTTACATTAAGGGGGTCCACGTTTCGCAAGCGTAGAGAAGGGAGGGAATGACTGTGGCCGAGAAGACCCGAAGCTTCGTGCGGAGCGACAGACCAGGTAGCTTCCACACAGCGTTACGCAACCAATGAAAAGATAATGCCGCTCGACTGATTCGGAGTGAGACTTCTGCTGTCAAACCGGAGCCGGCCATGAGCACACTTCTCAGGTATGGGAAACTCTCCACTCTCTCCACAACTGCCCCATCACCAATTGGGAGTTGTGGGGGTGGAGTGTCCGATGGTACAAAATACCCAGGCAGGTGCTTAGTTTTGGTGGTGCTAATGGTAAGGCCCCACCTCTTCGTGGCAAGCTCCAGGTTCAGCAGCAGCGCCTCCAACTCCTCTTCTGAGTGAGCGGCAATTACCAGATCATCGGCATACGTAACGTGGTTGACCAATAGGGAGCCATCCCTTGACCGCACCCGGGCATCGATCAGCCTCGACTGACTGAAATGACTGTAACCGCCACCACACAGCCCCACCGACACGCAGCTCAGTGACTGCGGTCGCTGTGCGAAGTGAGGGGAGAGACTGAGAGGATATAACGAATCCGTGACAGAATGAATAACGAATTCACAATTTGAATGAATGATAAATTCATTTAATTGTGTAATGAATCCGCGATAGAATGAATGACGCATGCACAATTTGAATTAATTATACATTCATTTAATGATAAATGAATCCGCGCGACAGAATGAATGCAATATTCACTATTTTAATGAATGATAAATTCATTAAATTATACAATGAATTCACGACAAAAATAATGACACATTAGCTATTTAAATTAATGATAAATTAATTCAACGATATAATGAATCCGCGACCGAATGAATGGCACATTAGCTATTTAAATGAATGAAATTCATTCAACGGTATAAGAAATGCTAAATGCATTATGTATCATTCATTCTGTCGCGGATTCGCTCTATCCTGTTACAGGGCCGCTGTTGGTGCCCCCCGTCCCCCCTCCAGCGTTTAAAGGATTCCCCCTCCATTGCTCGACGCTCGCAGACGTCGTTTGTGGCCTTCCGTTGTTCGTCATTGTTACCTCTATGCGCCTCCCCACACACGTAGCATTGATTGTAGGACACGGAGCGCACGGCAATGTCAGATTATATCGACGGGACCCTCTTGTTTATTTGTTTTCTGCCAGTATGAAAATGATGGAACAAAGGTAATATTCGCCTTCACCGTGTTATTATGTTCACGTCATATTGTGAGGTCGTGTTTTGTTAATTCTATTCTGCACACATACGTTATTGGTTCCACCGTGGTATAAATGCAAATACTGCGGTGCAATTCGCAAGCTGTTGGAGCGCCTGTCACATTCTGAGTCTCCCAAATATAATAATAATAGAACAATTATCATGATCTAATCGTTTTAATACTTATTTACTCATTCGTATAGGAATACCACGCATAGTCGTATGACAATTTTTCTAGGAGGTTCCTGCCGCACCATTTGGGATTTTAAGATGTTTTCAGCCACCAGTTGTTTGTACAAACGGCAGGTTGTATGTACAGTACCGTATGTTGAACTTCTGTCGCACCGTACGTAGCCAACCTCGATCATTGGAGATGCCGGGGACGGATAACAAACTAAACACACCAAGCAGTTCTAACACTGGTTTGCGAACTAAATTGCTTGCGACGTTGCAGGCACTTAATCTGCAGTCGGTGTTCCCCAATGTTTTCGTGGCACTTCGGATTTTTCTAACTTTGCCAGTGACAAACTGCCAGGGTGAGCAGACATGTTCCCTTTTAGGCAGAATAAAAAATGAGCTGCGGAGTAGCATGTGCCAAACACGTCTCAGCTCATTGTCACTTATATCAATAGAGTCAGACCTTGTCAGACAGCTAGATTTTTACAATCTAGTGGATCATTTTGGGAGGAGAAAGGCAAGAAAGACACCAATATAGAAAAGCGGGTGGGGGGGGGGGGGCTCCAAAAGACTTGTTCCCAGGGTCCTCACGGGACCATGATCCGGCCCTGGTTGTTGTTATCAAGACAATACGTGGACCTGTTTCATCACGTGCCGTGTATTCGAGTCGTCGAAGTGCAGCTAACATGGTTGTAGAAAGAGGGGGGGGGGGCAGGGGCGCCACCGGAGGGCGTGA